ACGCAACAGACCAGAGCTCACGATTCTCCGCGCAGATAAAGGAAATGCTACGGTAATAATGGACACGTCAGAGTATAATTTCAAAATACAACAACTTTTATCGGACGTAAGTACATACAAAAAGGTCAAAATAGACCCTACAACTAATACACTCAAAACAACTACTGATTTAATAAAGAAATACTCCGAAAAATTAAATCTTGACGTGAATTCGACAATACCATCATGTGCCAAACCACCGAGGTTGTATGGGTTACCGAAAATACACAAACCAAACGCTCCACTACGTCCTATAGTAAGCCAGATCGATTCACCAACTTATAAGTTGGCTCAACACTTGGCGAAAATACTGTCACCACTAAGAGGACATACCAGAGCACACACAAAGGATTCATACCAATTTGTTAGTGAGATTAAAGACCTACATCTCGCTGACAATGAAACTATGGTCAGTTTTGATGTTCAGTCACTATTCACATGCCTACCTATTGAAGACTGCATCTCAATTGTTACTAGAAAGCTAGAAGATAACAACATGCCTACAGAATATGCAGTATTACTCAAACACTGCCTCACATCTGGCTATTTATTGTGGAAAGAAGAGTTCTACATGCAAGTAGATGGAGTGGCAATGGGCTCACCTGTATCTCCCGTAGTCGCCGACATATTCATGGAGGACTTTGAGGAGAAAGCCCTTCTTACTGCTCCTGCAAATCCAAGATTCTACAAGCGGTACGTAGACGATACTTTCACAATTTTACCATCTGACAAAGTAACTGCATTTTTAAACCACCTTAATTCCATAAACCCTAAAATACAATTCACAATGGAGTTAGAGGCAAACAATACTTTAGCTTTTCTAGATGTTTTAGTCATCCGAAATCCTGATAACACTATTGGTCATACTGTGTACAGAAAAAATACCCATACCAACCGATATTTAAATGGTGAATCTCACCATCATCCTTCACAGTTAGCTACCGTGGGAAAATCTTTGTTTCAGAGAGCACGAGGGATCTGTGACAGAAAACATCTGGCCGCCGAGCTTCAGCACGTCGAGCAAGTACTGCAAGACAACAAGCTTCGGGTCCCGCGCCTACGTCACAGTGACCGAGTGAAGCCAGCCACAGTCGAGCGTGTGCCTGCTGTACTACCCTATGTCAGAGGAGTCACAGACAAGGTTGGCTACATCTTGAAGCGAGCTTCCATTAAAACGTACTTCAAGCCGCTGAAGAAGATTGGTCAATTTTTACCATCCGTCAAGTGTCATATCCCTCTACAAGATGCAGGAGTGTACAAGCTGGATTGTGAATGTGGTCTCTCGTACATAGGACAAACAAAAAGATCTATTAAAACCCGCGTTAAAGAACATATAGCTGACGTGAAGCACCGACGTATCGGGAAGTCTGCAGTTTGTGAACATGTTCAGGATCGTCCCCGTCATTACATTAGATTTGATAGACCACAAATCCTCGCAAAAGAACACCGATTCCTCCCAAGGATGATTCGCGAGGCTATTGAAATTAAAAAACATCCTAATTTCAATAGAGAAGATGGATGGGTGCTGCCATCTGCTTGGGATCCCATAATTAATAAAATCAAATCCAAACCCAAGTATACCACTGCTAGACTTCAAGATACTGTAAGCTCATTCTGCGTAAATCGAACCAAAAATTAATATTAAAAAACTGAAGGTAGCCGGGCTAACTATGACAGCAGGACGTCAAACAACTCAGTCCCCCGTGACCACGGGTGCTGGAAAGCACCCGAAACGTCGGGAATATAAAAATAAGTTAATATACGCGATAAAATCCGTAAAATTAGTTTTATTTAAAAAAAATGTGTTTTAGTGATAGATTTTCAAACATTTCTTACCTTATTCGTCGCATCCAAAAACACATCTTTTTACGTGACGACATCGTAAGAACGAAATAACAGTAATGAATGCAATGTAACAAAAATATTAATAAGAACAAAGAAAATTATTAGGTTAACAAACTAAATCTCGTGAACATGATGCATAATAGCGGTGTGCGACTCGAGTTATTTGACTGGAGTAACTCGAATCAAACCTTAAACGAGTCTACTCGAGTTCAGTTTTAAGCAACTCGAATCAACTCGGTCGTCCGAACGCAAACCGGACGTTATAGTTATACGCGGTGTTCCGAGTTACACACGCGCGTTGTTCCGAGTTACACACGCGGCTCGCGCGCGCGGTTCGTTAGGCGTTGCAACTCGCATCAACTCGAGTTGAGTGAATTATTATTTATTATGTTACGATACACACGCGCGCGCGCCGTTCGTAAGGTGTTGCAATTGTTGCATCGTACTCGTATCGACTCGAATAGATTATAGAACTCGGGTTGAGTCGGGCTCGCTCGGCCAGGATCGGACCGGAAACGGAATTGCGCGAATGAAAAACTGCGTTGAATGTTTATTTTGATTGACATTTTTTTTTCTTTTATATTTATTTCGTTTATTTTATTTATAACTACTACTATTTATAACTACTTATAACTATAACTTGCTATAATATAAATTAAGCAATTATTTAAAAACTAAACCATTGACATTTTGTTGTTTAATTTTATTAGTTGATTGACCGTTAGCGATCCGCTCGTGAGTCTCGAGCTTGAGCTGACTCGTGGTCCCCGAGTCGGCCGAGTCGCCTCTCTTTCCCTACAGCAGACATCGATTCGAGTCAACTCGAGTTACGATTCGAGTCAGTAGCCATATGAACTCGAGCAACTCGAGTCAAAAAAAATCCAACTCGTCACATCAGTAATGCATAATGGCGTTCATAGAAAATGGCGATGTTGACAATAGAGTACCTGTTTAGTTACCAAACTTTTTTCGCGAAACGTCGTAAGAGGGAGCCTGTTTCCATACATTTTAGACTTCAAAATTTTACTACCAACTTTCCTCCCCCTGGTGTGCGCTGGCAGACGCTCTAACGACACGGGTTCCAGCCAGTGTTGCCAACCGTACGATTTAAATCGTATTCATACGATCTTTTTGGCCCTAGTACGATGTACGATCATGTATTCGAAATCGTACGGAAAATATACGATCTTTTCAAATCCTGTAATCTTTATAACAAAACAAAAATTATAATTAATTAAGTTCATTTTATCGATATGAGGAATCAATAACATCAAAATTGAACGAGCTCTGAACTTCTTCTTTGTATTTTTTATGAAAGCATCCAATCCAATAATTTTTTAAACTCTAGTCTACTCGCACTATACAAATACGCAGCGTACTAGCACTTCTTATTAGTTGTAGTATTATACTACTCCATCAACTCGCCGCCTATTAAGGAATTCCCCACGCAGGTTAACCGCCTTTCTTCAAGTGTTTTTTTTATGTCATTCTATTCCAAATAATATTACCCACCCAGATAATCATATATTACATATTTTTGTTATTTTTATTCACATATTTTTGTAATAGATGGCAGTGCGGACTCAGTCCGAGCCACAAACTAATAAGAAGCTTTTTTTTAATAAAAAAAGTCTTAGTAAAGTTTAGTGACAGATTCTTAAATGTTATTGGTTATATCCTAAATGTAAAATTTTGCTTTGACGTTATAATAATATTATTTTTGTATTTTTTACCATTGTTTTATTGAAATATTGATGCGTACTACCTTTTTTTTGAGTTCTTATCAAAATACGATCTTTTCCAATTTATTGTACGATCTCCTAAAAAATAAAGTTGGCAACCCTGGGTTCCACGTGTAAGAGCTCAGAGCCAGGGGGTGTCAACTTTGTTCTACGAACAAGATGTAGGTGGGCTAGAAAACAAGAGAGAGACAACAACACCAGAGTAAAAGAGATGAATTATACAATGTTGCCACCAAAAATACAATTTCGTAGTGTCTAAAATAATGAGCTTATTAATTACTTTTTAAACTAAATTACCTTTAAAAATAACGTTTTTTTATTATTCTGATGCCAAAAAAATTTATTTTGCTATGAAATATAACATATTCAATTGATTAATACACAATAACAAAAAAAGATAAGGGGATAATGTGTGGCAGCACTAATGACCGCACGCTATATTATGAGATGTTGGCGGGAAATTGACCGGCGGCGGTTTGCTGCTCCTGTATTATTGTTTAAATAATGGTTTGAAGTGGACTTTGATATGTAAAAGTGTTGCGATTTTGTGTATTAAGTGTCTATGACGTCACAAGAAAAATGTCTGCCGGCGTTCGCGCATCATTTTATCTTGTACATAAGTTTATTTGGAATAAATAAACTAGTTACATTTAATTCTACATACATTGTTAACGTTGAGTTGAGTTTGCTCCTCCGTGACCGTGTTTTGGTGAAATTGTGTGTTTGTGAGATATAGACTCTGTGTTGAGACAGTGACTTGTTTGAATTTGTGTTTAATTTTCGCGATGAGTTCGCAAAAGGAAAACACTAGAATCTGTTGCATCTGTGAATCTTCACCTTCTAAAGATTCCGGCATCACTTTGCATAGGTTTCCGAAGCCTGGCTCAAAAAATGCTCTGCGGTATGTATACCTACATAAGTACTTTCAATACTATTCGTTTTAGACGACCCACAATACCATATTTATTGTTTATGCAGCTTCCAAGCAACCACAGATTAACGTAATTTGTATACGTCGTGGGTCGTGGCTCGTGGCCATATGGCAGAATTGATCACATCACGGTCGACCATTTCATGAAATTGTCCCGTTTCATGATGTGACTTGCTAAAACTGGCCATATTGTTTGAACGTCAACGTTTAATGATATGGCTATGCACATTTGGCCTTATCATGAAACGGTTCATAAAATTGTCGACCACATCATTAAGTGATCAATTCTATGATATAGCTACGAAATAAACATAATATATGTAATGTATTTGATACACTTTGATAAAGTCCTAACTTTCGTTGCCAAAAATCATCAGGTACTTAACTATTCTTCTTACACCATTCCTGTATTTAATATTACATCTTATACATCTCTTTCAATCAAACGGGTAAAACTATAGACATTCAGTACTCGCGCTCGGGGGGGGGGGGGGGGAGGTTCAGGGGAAGCCCTTGGTACCCTTCCCTCGTTGTGGAAATGTATACTTTATAAGTAGTATTTTTTTTTTGTAAAATCATAACCTTACTTTTTACACAGGAATATTGACTCAAAGTTAAATGAATAAAAGTTAATGCAATATTTATTGAAATTCCTATTATCCAATCTAATATCCAATTTATTGAAACACATTTCCGACATCCAAATACAGTGTAAAAGATTCAAACTTAACCCTAACAAGCCTTCTAAACTGAATACATAATTAAAATCAAGTACCGGACGCCTACTTCATAATACTAGACCAAATTGACGTATTTGTGTTTTGTTAATACACAATTTTTAGTGAAATATATTTTTATCGTAATTAATTCAAAAGGCATTTCCGACATCCAAAAACAGTGTAAAAGGTTCAAGCTTAACCCTAACAAGTCTCCTAAACTGAAAATATAATTAAAATCAAGTACCAGACGTCTATAGCCAACCCATAAAAGGAAATACAGAAAGCTTAGATTGTTATTTAGATAAAAATTAAGAATATTATATGTTTAATTTTAATATTTTTTAATTTCCAGCTGTGAATTATGGGCAAAGTATTGCTTTCCAAACAAAGCCTGGTCTTCACCAAAATTCGAGGAGGAACTCCATAAAAAACATAAGATGCTTTGCAGCAAACATTTTGAAAGCATATGCTTTAATGAGAAGAAGTTGTTCAGAACAGCTATACCTGGTGTTCAATGCTATAAGGTAAGTACAATTAACACTTGAAAAGCATAATATTTAAAGCTATTTACATTGCAGAGAAATACAGGTTTTATGTTGTAACACATAATATTATGCAGTAGAATGATGATGTTGTTAACATGAAATTTAAGGAAATATTATAACCAGTTACGCACAAGAGCTATACTCGGGCCATTACAAACATGCAAAATGAGTCATAAATTATAAGGGTCATAGGAATGTGAAACTCTTTATTAATAAAGGAATGCCGCTTGCACTATTAAATATTCTGTATTATCTATACATATAATAAAACTGTAAATAGCAGATGTCTGTACATTTTATATTTTTGTAATAAAAGTGATTGAGGGGTACTAAAAATAAGTAATTAAATACATTTCTACCATTTTTAGAATTTTCTGTCTGTCTGTCTGTCTGTCTGTCTGTTTGTTTGTTAACGTATCACGTATAAAGTACTAATTTATATCATAAGAATTGTTAAGGAAATTATAAAGTGTATCTTCGGGTTACATTTAGTCTTTATTTCATTAAAATCAGTTCATTCCATCAAAAGTTATGATAAATATTCTGAAGTATGGGTAGGGAAGTATAGGTACGAATTTGCTCAACGGTGGCTTTGTTTGAGTCATTGTGTGTGCATTTTAAATTTGTGCATTTTAAACTAATATCATATCATAAATCATAGTTAAATTATGTAAAATAATGATATAATTATGTATATCTATAACGCAGTAAACAAAAGTATTAAAGAACTTATTAAATATATTATACAAAAATATATTAACCTTATTAACTAAATCTGAAGCACAATAGTTAACCCATTTCTTCGATAGATGGTGGTGTTGTGAAAATGTAATGCAATTGCAATGTGGTTTTTTCCTGTAGATGAGTTTTCATATTTACTGCTAATCTTTATTATATTACTCGCTGCCCTACTGCGTGTTGACAAACTCAATTTATTCTTTACCGCCGAGTACTTTATGTGGTAAATCAAATTTTAAAAGAGCTATTAACAATTGCGTTGGTTTTGGCGAGAGTCAAACTTTATTTTTTGCTTACTGTGTAGGCACTGATTTATAAGTTCCCTTGCGTTTTATATAATGTATCAATCGCGTCAATTAATCTCTTTTATTTTTAGAATTGATGTTAGCAGCGCCATCTCTCTTTAAATATATACATATAATAAAAATGATGATAACATGTGTCTCTTTCTGTACATTGTATATATATTTTGGTGGCTAAAATCATTATGGGGAACTGAAAATAATTAAATAAGAACATTTTATGATTTTTAGAATTGTCTGTCTGTTATTATATGAGCGCATCACGTCTAAAGTAAACATCTTTTATTTTCAAAGAAATCGTTAAGAAAATCATAAAGCGTATCTTCGAGTTACATTTAATCTTTGTTTTATTAAAATTGGTTAATTCTATCGAAAGTAATGATTATTATTTTGAAATGTAGGTTCGAATTTGTTCAATGGCGCCATAAAATCTCAGAAATAGTAATAAAAAGATTTGTGTGTAAAAAAAAACGTTCAATAAAAATTAATATACTTATTTATACTTAAAACACAAAAAGAGATTTAAAAAGGATGTTTTCTCACACAAAGGACGTAATAGATGGAGTTGTACAAATTACAAACTTTTCTGAATTGCTATGTTGAGATTTTTCGCCGATGAATCGTATTGAGACTTACTGAAGAAATTTGTATCCATCGAAGCTATACAACGGAACCCGACCATAAATAAAAATGTTGCAACGAAATGTCGTGATATTGTATATATAATATAAGCAAAATCAGTACTGCCATTTTAGTGCTTTGGGAACTAGATTTAGCGCTTTTTTGGAATGTATAGCGCGCATTTCGAAATTTTAGCACCTAGCTTAATCCAGCGCTTTTTGGTGTATTTAGCACACATTTCAATATTTTAGCGACTAGCGGGTTATTAACTCTTTTATAGCAGCACTGTTAGTCCACATTACCGATAATAATAATAATGACCTTTATTATTTTTTCCCACAAATAGTACATTGCAGTTTATCTTTTTCAAACATATTTTTTCCACAAAACAAAGAGCATGGGAGACGAGTCCAAACTAGGATACCCTGTGCTATGGATCTCCTGGCTTCCCCTTTAGGATGATCAACTTGATTTTTTTACCGACGACTATAAGCGGGGAAATCCCCTTTATTAAAGTTTTCGTTCATGGTTTTGGCAACGCATTTATTTTGCTTTATTCATTTTCAGTCAGTTGCTTAGAGCACAGCTAAGTTAAAAGTTACTTAGAAGTTATAACACAAAGAAACTGTGTAGCAACCGCAATCAGATGCTGACATCTGAAACTAAGTTGCGAAATACATTGCACTTTAAAACAATTAATGACATTTTTATTGTTCGTACAGTACTAACTACTGTTTACAGCAATTGCCATAATTATAAGTCGATGTCCTGCGAAGTATTGATACATCAAAAAAATATTGCCAGAAAAAAAACTTAATGTTGTTTTCTTTATTATGATTATATAAAAAACACAAACTTTGTTTGTAGTTAATTTAGCGCGAAATCTAGGGCTTTTTTAAAGCGCTGTTTTCATGAAATCTAGCGCTTTTTGTGTTGTCCTAGAGCTGAATGAGTTTTTTTTTTATCTGGCAGCACTGCCCAAAAACCCTCTAATAAGAAGTAACTTTCCTTTCAGTTTTAAGCGCGTTCAGTTCCCAGTTACAGTGAGCGTGTGTTATGCGATGACCGTAAATAAAGCGCAAGGTCAAACTTTACGCGTTGTAGGAGTGTACCTCAGTACTGACTGTTTTGCACATGGCCAACTCTATGTTGCTTTTTCACGCGTTAGTAGCCCCCGTAACCTTTTTGTGTACACCCCGGCTAAGCCTACTTCTAACGTCGTTTACACAGAAGAATAAACAACTTAGAACTTTGATGATAATGATTTATTTAGTTACCACTTATTGATACAGTAATGAAATAAATCGTTTAATATTCTCTTACCTAAACGACAAATTCTTTATGTAAAACCTGTATACGCGAGCTACGCCGCGGGCACAGCTAGTATCTAATATGTTCAGAATATAGAATAAAACACAAATGTTGAATATTGTTATGTATTAAGCTTGGTAGCATTAATACAATACAATACAATAACTTTATTTCAGGCATCAAGGACTTAAAAATTAAGAACATTGGCCCATAGCAATATATACCTTAACCTAAAAATATATATAAAATATAGACATAATTTATTAAATTATTAAAAGACAAGCATTAAAAAAGACAAGTGTCATAAGCAAATATTAAATTGCCTACATTCAATTTACTTTATTAATTAACAAAGTAAACAAGTACCCCCAAATAGAATAACAATAAATCTTTGAATATGACAATATCCTTGACTTCTCTCTTGCTCTTTATTACTTTTTATCAACTATATCAACAAATCCTTTTTTACTATAACACAACACTAGCCAGTTCCATAAAGTTTGTATGTGCAAGTGAGAGGTCTGATAATAATGATTTATGACTCAGTTCACAGGTTTGTAATGGCCCAAATAAAGTATTATATATTAATACATATTTGCTTACCTTAACTATGACTTATTTAATTACAGGATTTGAATTAATTTATTTAAAATATGTTAACCTTTCATTTTCAGGCTACAACATTTTCTAATCTGTCAGATCAACCTGCCATGTTTGAACCTGTTGCCAGAATTTATCCTTTAAGAGAACATCATAATGCAAACATTATCACTCCAACAAATCATTCAGGAATGTTTGTGTGCAATTCTTCAAAACAAGAAGGTGATCAAAAAAACAAAATGTTGATAAGGAAACTGAAAAGTAGCATGAACAAAGTATACAGATTACAAAAAACCATAAAACATTTAAAAAATAACGCATATGTAAATGAAATTAGTAACAGTGAAACAGTAAAGAAAATCCTCAATAAAAAATGAGTTCATCATTTACCTTGTTACTGCAAGGAGAACTGCAGAATTATAAGAGAAAGAAACCTGGTCGCAGGTGGAACATGGAAGCTAAAATAATAGCACTGAGGCTCTACATAGGTCACCAACATGCTACAAGTTATTGAGGAGAATGATTTGCTTACCAGCACCCAGCACATTAAAATCCCTCTTAAGTAGATTTAAGATGAATGTGGGGACACACAAAGCAACACTTACAGTGTTGAAAAGCATGACAAAAAACTTTGAGCCATCTAAACGAGAGTACATATTGTTGTGGGATGAAATGTCCTTAAGAAAAAATTTATGGTACAACTCGAAGGTGGATCATATTGAGGGTTTCCAAGACCATGGTACACAAGGTAGATCTCCACAGGCAGCTTCATATGCCCTTGTATTTATGGTAGTTGGAGTTAGGAAGAAAATTAAGCAGCCAGTGGCTTATTATTTATCAAGTGGGTTTGTCACAGACTACCTGACACTGACAGACTATCTGCTTTGATTAAGGAGGTATGTATTTCTTATTCATTTTGAATGAATCATGCTTATTTAACTCTGCTAAACTATGCCATTAATCTGCCTTAAAATACTTTCAGGTCTTAAATTGTTGCTTTAATGCTGGACTTAATATATGCGCTTCAGTCTGTGACTTGAATGGAGTTAACAAGAGAGCTCTATGTCTGTTAGGAGCTTCTGTAGAGAATCCCTACATAGAAGTGAACAATCACAAAGTTGTCACACTATTTGATACGCCACACTTGCTGAAGTACTTCAGAAATCTCTTTATGAAATATGATGTAAAGTTTAGGACCAATATAACATCAGACAACAAACAAGGAATTGGTAAGTCATTGTTATTTAGTTAAAATAAAATTGTTTAATAATAAATATGTAGATAGTTTATAATTAATAGTTATAATACTTTTAATAATTACAGGAATCACTAAATGGAGCCACATCAGGCAATTCTATGAATTGGACAATAATAATCCTAGTTTTGTGTATGCACCATGCTTGACTAAAGAACACCTTGACCCCAATACCAAGCAAAAAATGAGGGTAAAACTTGCAGCACAAGTTTTAAGCCACTCAGTTGCAGCAGGAATATATTCCAAAATAGCTAAAGGTAAGACATCTTTAATAATCAAAGTCAAACTCATTTACTCAGATCATAATTATGCATGATACTTATGAACATTTAACAACAAGTCAACAACACCATTTCTTACAAATTCGTTTCAACAGTATGGTAATGTGGAGTTGTCTCTTTTATAAAGGGTATAACAATCTAGTAATTACTCATTTTTTACGTGGTAGAGCCATGCTGCAGCTATATTAGTAGTATAGTTGTAGCACAAATGGGTTGGCTCAACTGGGGAAGGACCAGGCTCTCACAGAAAACCAACGTAAAATAGCAGCTTAACGCTGCTGTGTTTCGTATGGTGAGTGTAGAGAACCGGAGACCCTTTTTACTGGCAAAGAGGCTTTCCATCTTAGTTCTCACGGGTGACAACACATCTGCATCTTGAGTCTTTATTGAGGATAGATATAGATGTCTATGGGTCACAGTATGCACTTACCATCAGGTGGACTGTGTGCTCGTTTGTCACCCTATCTTATAAAAAAAAAAACATTGTCCTTTTTATTACCTAATCCTGGTTTGAGCAAGATGGTTTAAAAAAAAATTTGCCAAAAATAGGCTTACTTATATTGGTTTCATTTGTTTATTGTTAATTTTCAGGAGACATGCCGACTGAAGCAGTGGCAACAGCTAATGTAATAAAAAATATGGATGAACTGTTTGATGGTGTAAACGCGTCGAAACCAGATTTAAGAAGAGGAAAAAAATTTTCCACAAACAAAAAACTCAACAGAACATCTGCAAATGTTCAATAGAATGAAATTATTTTTTAAAACCTGAATTTTTGGGTTGCAGGGGAAATCCCCCATCAAAAGATGGGTGGATTTGGACCCTGAATGGCATAGAAATGATTTGGAAAATCCTTAGTGCCAAATATAAAATAATTAAAACTCTGTCTACAAGAAGATTCCAGCAGGACCCACTGGAAAATTTATTTGGTTGCATACGCTACAACTGTGGGTCCAATAGCAACCCAACAGTTAGACAATTTGTTGCTGGGTTAAAAACTGCTGTAATAAGTAACATGGCACACACTAGCTCAGGCAATTGTGAGCTGGATAGCAACAGTGCCATTATAACTAATTTTAAAACATTGCTGACACCAGCCACAGACATATGCACTGATATAGAGCAATCCGAACATGTATATCAAATAAAAAAAGAAATTGAAGAAAGTATAACTTCCTCTCTGGAAGAAAACTTGGAGGAAGGAAGTAGCGAACTACAAGCATGTGCTTATGTCTGTGGCTTCATTATTAAAAAAAATAAAATCAGTTGTAATAATTGTACAAAAATTCTAGTCTCTGAAACGCCCGAAGGAGTACATAATTTTGTAGAGTTCAAAAATTATGATAATGTAAAAAAGTCTCTTACATATGCCTCAAAGAATTTAATAGCTTGTGTAGAGAAAAGTGCAAGCATAATAAATATATTTTTAGAAAAAGAGGCATATGAAGAGAATATTAAAATGAGAGTAACACAATTGTTAAAGGACTATAAATTATGACTTCCTCGAAAATTGCGTGGAGCACAAACAATTAAATATAACTTACATAGTTAATAGTGTCTTCCACATTACAATTAAGAGATACTATATTATAAAAAACAGAATGTATTCTGAAGAGGCGAGTAAATCTGCACTAAAAAGAAAAATGAACATAATTATGCATAAATAAATCTACAACTAGCACCTTTGCCAACAAATTCAACAGCCTGAATTTTAGATTTTCACGCAAGATGATTATACAACACCAATTTCTTTATTTGTATTAAATAATCTAAAAATTCAATCTTCAAAAACACCAGATTCTCATACAAACTTTCAATCCTTATTTCACATGTTGGAGTTTAAGTTTTCAAAGTCGCTCAAAAACGTGTTTCATTGTTGTCCAAATACCAATACTCATTGATTTTACTTAATAAAGGACGGACTTTCATGCAAACTTCTGTTCTATCCACTATATGGATAGATTTTCAAAAAAAAATTTCTTAGTGCATGTCTTCGTCACAAAAGGAACCTGTTCTGGGTTGATGTGCAGTTAGTTAGGACAAGTAATTATATATGAGTAGATTATGTTCATTTTTCTTTTTAGTGCAGATTTACCCGCACTGGACTCGCGTGGTAGTTTACAGCCCACTCCCTCTCACACAGAGGAGGTCTGTGTTCTAGCAGTGGGAACATCATAGGCTGATTATGCTTTATTTATTACTTTACAACTTGTTTTATTAATGGACGATAGTGTAGCTATATTGTCAGATCTGTCTGCCTTCAACCAAAATAATAATTATCTCTCTTCCTAACCATTTCTTTATTTATTTCATTAAACTTAAATAATATGATACATGTCTGTAAAGTGTAAACTTGTGTTTGACTTTGTCTAGGTTTTGGTGGCCATACTTGTAATTATGTTCGAAGATGCTTGCTGTATTTTCAAATTGTATGTATAATCTCATTTTTAGAATATTATGTTTAATTTGTGTTTTAAATTAGCTGATTAACTATCATTACATATACATACTTGTGAACACCTTTTGTCCCAAATGAATATATAATTCAAAAACACATTTATTCATGTAAAATTAGTCATAGTTTCCAAATGAATGTCTGATAAATTATGATTAATATCATGCTAAATAAAAAAGTTAAATACCAATGTTTGTTTTATTAGACTGTTCCATAAATATTGCTTTCAGCATTTTATGCACAGGTACACTGTGTTTCTCCAGGGCATAGAATCTTAGTACATTAATGCTTGAAAAACGCAATTATTATTACACTAAATTTAGATGAACCAAAAGAACATTTAAAGTATCAAACGTATAGTTTTTAGATTTTGTCGTATTATAATGTACTAGATCCATCTGTTGGCACGAGATGTCGCCTCTGTTGATGTAAGAAGATAAAATTGAAACGCTATGTGGTTATGAGATTCAACAATCTATTTGACAACATTTTTAAAATGGTCGCATTGAGTTGAGTGCAAATTTCTCCGTAGGAGTAATAGTGCAAAGAGAAGAGAGAGACCGTGCTTTGTAATTTTTATTGAAGAGGCAGGAGGCCTACGTTTAGTCTGTAACGATGATGATTAATTGTTTGTTTTATTTAATGTTATAGTCCGTGCTGAAAAAATTCGTCACCATAATAATAGTGTACTGTAAAATATCAGTTTATTAATAAATAATTTGTATTTGACACAATTGATTGTACTTGTATTAGCATAATAATAATAAAAACATTTTATTTATATATTTCCAGCTTAAGTCTTATGTATTCATGACTAAATTAAATTATGTATTTAGTCTTAAAAATTGTATGTTAATAAAAACAGAGAACCCATCACCTCATTTCGTCCCATGGGTGTTATGTTATATGAGATATGTCAAATAATCTCATGAGTTCTGTTTAGTCGGCGTTATCTCATTTACGCCAGACGTAAAATCCAAATTGACGATGGACAAGCTGCGTCAAAGGTGTTCACGTCTAGATCTATGATTGTCAAGCCACCTGCCAAGCATGACAGGCTCAAGTCCAGCAGTAAACTTTAATAGGCCAATAAAGAAGAAAAAAGTCACAAAAAACTTGCAGTGCTCTGATAATACAAGTGTTTATTAATGGATTAATTAGCTTTTTGTTTTTCAGAAAAAGGCATTCTTCCAAGACAATATGCGGAAACTGCTGAAATTCACCTCTTTTTTGACAAGGTATTCGATTTAATCGAAATTAAATAAATAATTCAAAATAAACTACTCAACATACAGTAGGTCGGAAAAAAGACAGAAGTTGAGGCGAACCATGTTTTGAAGTTTTTAGTTTATGTCCACTTGGACAACTTTTCACAATACAGGTTTTTCCCATAATTGTTCAATTATTTCTTAACCTTTTATAACTATCACCACCACAAAATCACTAATAATTATTTTTAAAAAGCCATACTAATAAAATACCAAGTTTGCTCACAGCAAGTTTTTGGTTATATTAACTTAATTATTAGACTACGTAAATGGTTTGTATAATACTGGCATTTTATGATTTTACTTCCCCATATAAAAAAGTACTCTGTGCATTTTACTAACAACTACTATATTGTCATGAAATTTTTAAATATTTGAATTCAGCTAACTTCATTCCGTCTATCAACAACAGCTATATATTCATATCGTAGTTTTTCAGACGCCAGCGCTATTGTGGTAGGTTTTGGAACCTCTATTTTCAGTAAACAGTTGGACACTTTTTCAACTTTCCCCCCATATGAGATGGTTCTCCTTCTACTCTATACTCCATGAGTTCAATGCTGAACATAGGCCTTGTTAGAACTGTGTAAACCAACTGATTTAAATATGCTGTTTTTAGTACTTTAGTAATCTGTTCAAGTTGGCGCCACTGTCTATACCACCTTTGTAACTTTTGTATTTTAGTCGTATTATACGTTCTTGTCGTTGCCATTTGTTACACTAAGACTGTTTTCACTGTTTCCATAATTAAATCTATTATTATAAATTCAATCCTGTCTTATTTTATCCATAATCCATCAGGCCTCCCCTTAAATTGCCTCATAGGGAGGATATTTGCCAAGTTGCCACGCTTGGCAAGCGGGTTGCAACCGCAGTTTTTTTTTTATTTTAGTCGTTGTTAGGAAGACGCTGCTGCCCGTCACCTGATTTACTTCCTTCTGTCACCTCTTACGAAACCCACGGGATGATATGGGGTAGTGGGTATTCTTACACCACCAGTACCTTGCTGAATAATTACCAATTTGACCTACTTGTTTAATAAATGGTAGGACTCATCTTCCGTCTGAGTAAGTGCCATCCTCTTAACTATTTCTTCTGTCAAAAAGCAGTCCAATAATGCAGACGACTAAATGAACAAAAAGTTTGTTTAACAATTTGTTTATTTATTATATTGTTTATTATATACAGTTAAGAATACTTAACTGACTAGATGGAGTGATATGGAGTTTATACGTGGTTGAGCCATAGTGCAGCTATATTAGTAGTACCTATAGTTATAGTACGATTGGGTCGGCTTGACCAGGGAAGGACCACGCTCTTACAGAATACCAGCGTAAAATGGCAGCTAGACACTGCTGTGTTTCGTATGGTGAGTGTAGAGAACCGGAGACCCTTTTTACTGGAAAAGAGGCATTCCATCTTAGTCCTCACGGGTGACGACGCATCTGCATTTTGAGTCTTTATTGAGGATAGATGTAGCTGTCTATGGGTCACAGCAACCACTTACCAGATGGACTGTGTGCCCGTTTGTCACCCTATCCTATAAAAAAAATGACGACATGTATGTAGGTGGGTCAGGACTGCGCTTTGCTGCATTCCTTAGCCTATGTTCAGCAGTGGACTTGTAATGTGCATTGCACGACTGTGTTCCGAGGTGTTAGTTGAAGTGCTGAAGAGTTATACGTGATAGAGCCATGCTGCAGCTATATTACTGGTATAGTTGTAGCACGAATGGGTCGGCTCGACCGGGGAAAGACCACGCTCTCACAGAATACCAGCGTAAAATAGCAGATTAACACTGCTGTGTTTTGTATGGTGAGTGTAGAGAACCGGAGACCCCTTTTATTGAAAAAGAGACATTCCATCTTAGTCCTCACGGGTGATAACGCATCTGCATTTTGATTCTTTATTGAGGATATATGTAGATGTCTATGGGTTACAGTAACCACTTACCATCAGGTGGACTGTGTGCTCGTTAATCACCCTCATCATTATTTTTCATCATTACAGCCCTTCACAAGTCCACTGCTGAACATAGGCCTCCCCCAAAGAATGCCACAAAGCACGGTCCTGAGCCACCTGCATCCATCGACTTCCTGCATATCTTACCAGGTCGTCACTCCATCTAGTGGGGGGACGCCCTACACTTCGCCTGCCGGTACGAGGCTGCCACTCGAGAACCTTTCTTCCCCATCGGTTGTCGGTTCTTCGAGCTATATGGCCGGCCCATTGCCACTTCAGCTTACTAATCCGTTGGGCTATGTCGGTCACTCTGGTTCTACTGCGGATATCCTCATTTCTGAGTTTATCACGCAGAGAAACTCCGAGCATAGCCCTCTCCATAGCTCGCTGAGCGACCTTGAGCTTCCTTATCCAGCCAGCAGTGAAGGACCACGTCTCAGTTCCGTATGTCTTCACTAGCAACACGCACTGGGTGTACAGTCTCGTTTTCAAATTTTGAGGTATACCTGACGAGAAGATTTGCCGTAATTTCCCGAACGCTGCCCAACTGAGTTGAATCCGTCGATTGACCTCTCGGTCGAAGTTGGACTTACCTAGTCGGACTATTTGTCCCAGGTAAATATACTCCTCAACAACTTCGAACTTAGTGTTCCCAACAACTACCGGCATAGGTGTGACATGGACATTAAACATGATCTTTGTTTTGTCCATGTTCATCTTAAGACCTATCCGTTGGGAAACACTATTGAGATCATTGAGCATAGTGCTTAGGTCCTCCAGCGATTCTGCCATAAGGACTATATCGTCGGCAAATCGAAGGTGAGTGATGTACTCGCCATTGATGTTGATACCGTATCCTTTCCAGTCCAGAAGCTTGAAAACATCTTCCAATGCAGCGGTAAAGAGTTTCGGGGATATGACGTCACCCTGTCTACACCTCTCTGCAATTGGATAGGTTTCGTACTCTGATTCTGTACTCGGATAGCCATCGTAGCTCTACTGTACAAGCACTTCAAAACTTCGATATACCGACAGTCAACTTGGCATCGCTGAAGGGACTGCAGCACCGCCCAACTTTCGACGGAATCAAAGACTTTCTCATAGTCCACATACGCCAGGCATAGTGGCAAATTGTACTCCTCGGACTTCTGGACAATTTGCCGAAGGGTATGTATGTAGTCTATGGTGCTAAAGCCCTTTCGGAAACCGGCTTGTTCGGGAGGCTGGAAGTCGTCAAGTCTGCGCGCGAGACGATTCGTAATGACTCTCGAAAACAGCACGTAGACGCGGCTCAGAAGGGAAATCGGTCTGTAGTTCTTCAAGAGAGCGTTGTCGCCTTTCTTGAAGAACAAGACCACCGCACTTCTGCTCCACGCCTCCGGTGTAATGCCACCATGAAGGACGGAATTAAAGAGCTTCTGAAGGACTTCAAGTACCGGTTTTCCACCCGCTTTCAGAAGCTCCGCTGTAATTCCATCCTCGCCTGGGGCCTTGCCGTTTTTAAGGTGCTGGAGAGCCATTCTAATCTCGCTCAGACTGACGTCCGGGATATCATCGGAATAATGTCGGATAAAACTCGCTCTTGGATCGTTACTCACACTTGCGTGCGGCTCCAACGATGACGTGTACAGCTGCCCATAGAACCTCTCAATCTCACTCAAAATCTCAGGTGCCCCAGAAACGATGCTGCCACATTCGGTCTTCAGCTTTGACAATTGGCTCTTTCTGGCAGACAGATCTCTGGCAAAGACTTTGGAGCCTTGGTTCCGCTCGATCGCTTCTTCAATACGAGCTGTATTGAAGTTGCGTAAGTCTCGCCGCATGCATTTGGAGATCTGTCTGTTCAGTTGCCTGTATGCTGTCAAATCTGTTGAAGAATGTCGCTTCATCTCCCGTCTAACAGCCATGAGATTAAGAGTGTGATCGGAGAGTTTTTGT